CACGATAAATCACACAGAGAAGCAAGAGATACAACAGACTCTTCACTAAAGCCTATTAATCACTGTGTTGTGAACAGCAGTTGACTAAAAACGAGTAAGAATGGCTGAACTAATTGGATTGTGGTCTAAAACCAGAAGAGTACAGCAGTAGTGACCGGGTTAACGAGAGCTTATACACCTAGACACAACAGGCTTAAGGCCAGCGCATGTTAGCAGATTTGTACTCGAATAGTTTGCCTGACTGAAGCATATCAACCGTCAACATGAGCGAAAATGTCATCTTTTGTGAGATACATAATATTTGAATGTAAATTCATCATTATGCAAGTATATAATTTGAGCTAAAACTATTTTATGTCTTTGTAGACCTGTTTTTTCCGTTTAACATTGAGAGTTTCTCTAAGGATATTAAGTAGCAGCAGTGTTGCCATGGGAAACCCTGAAATTATTTAGTGGGGGAAACGTTGGCGCTAGGGATGAACCGAAATAAAAATTCTTGGCCAAAGCCGAAACCAAATATTATGAAAAACTTCCCCAAATACCGGGGGAACAAGGTTTTTTTTTTTTTTATCCTTTTTTATCCATTTATTTTGCCTTTTTTTATACCATTGCATAAATTAAATAGTCAAAATGTGCTTTTTATTCAGGGTTTCCCACAGGATTTGGAGAGACTATGGCCCGAGAGGGTCCGGTAAAGTAAATTACATGTGTCCATTTACTTTCAATGGACACGTAATATGTTTTATACTTCTACTTATCTTATTTCCATACTGTAAAGACACCTTATTTTGAAAACCAGACATTGTCACATGTGTATCCTCGCGCTAAATTCATCATTAAGTCCAACCCAATTTGATAAATAATGTTGTATGTGGTTCTCATTTCGTGCAACATGAAAACTTAACAGCCTCTCTTCAGGTAGGACTCTCATACTGCAACACGTGTCTTTGTAAAGAGAGAAAATGAGAATTAAGTTGCTAACCTGCCTGTCAGCTCACACAGGTCCATTTCAGATCTTTACATACACAGACACAAATCTTCACTTTTTAAAGTCTAAACACTGCTATTGAGCAAATACAGCTCCCACATCCGGTGATATCTTGGGTCTGTCACAACTCCCAAAGGACACAAATACTCAAGACACAGGTGGAAGCACCTTTAGGGCAAACTATATTGGCCACACAACTCTAGAAACCATCCGTTACAGAGAACCAAAAGCCTACATTTCATTCACAACCGTCTTCAATTACAGTGGTTAAAAGGCATGAACATTTAAGAATAATATTTTTCCAACTCTCAGCATCATTCACAGTTTGTAAACACAGCATGTGATTGGATCCATTAATACATTTCAGTAGGGGCATAAATCTTTCGGTGTTTCATGATTTGATTCCAAATCGATTCCGGATTCAAAAAGATTTCCGAATCAAAATGTTTCGTATCCATGCAACAGTGAATGTCTCAACATACACTTAAGACGATACATGGCCAACAACAAACACTTTTACTCATTAATCTCACTGATCTAACTGGAAGCTAGAGGTGCAACTGATTATTTCCATTGTCAGTTATTTTCTCGATTAATCGATTGGTCGTTTAAAATGTCAGAAAATGGTGAAAAATGTCGATCAGTGTTTCCCAAAGCCCAAGATGTCGTCCTCAAATGTCTTGTTTTACCCACAACCCAAAGATATTCAATTTACTGTCATAGAGGAGTTAAGAAACAAGAAAATATTCACTTTAAAGAAGCTGGAATCAGAGAATTTTGACTTGATTATCAAAATAGTTGGCTATGAATTTACTAGTTGACAACTAATCGATTAATCGTTGCAGCTGTACTGAAAAAAATATGATTTTTGTTAAAAAAAAACTGAAAATCCACATGGGTTGTTCATCTTATGAAACTTGTTTGCCCGTACCTGTTGAAGACCCAGTCTAGGCTCAAAAGATAAAAACTGTTTTCAAGTAACAAATAAGGAACAGGAGCCCTTTGAGAGAAGTCATTTACAATTTTTGGACCGAGAAAATGGATGTCTTTGTTAGGACCTGCTCTTTCGAGATGAAATGGTATTATAACCTGTCATGTGCTGCTTCTGTCAGTTGTCATAGCTACCCACCAGCTTGACAGAGCGACTGATTCACCGTATTTTTAAAAACATCTTTGTTCGTATTCGGGAATTCGCTTGTCACATTAACAAATGGACTCAGTGTCTTCATCATTTCTCAGAATCGAGAAGATGGTAAACCCAAGTATTGTCTCCAAGCGTGTCTTAATCCAACAATGCTGTTAGACTGCCCAGCCCCGCTGACTGATGCTAAAACATATTCCCATTTATGACCAAATGTGTGCGTTTATAAGAGAAAAAAATGCCACTGTTGCCATGCCAGTTCATGCTCAGGGCCCAGACTATCCAGGGTCCCTGGACAGACCAGTTTTCCATGCAGATACAGATGCAAATACTCTCTCTTGTAATCAAAACACATGCTCCTGCAGGCAAAATCATAACAGAAAGGGCCACAGTCCCAGAATAAAACAGGATCCAGGTGTGTCACATCCTATTGTACTGCTTTAAGATATTTATATAATTGTTTTTGAAAGAAAGGGTGTGCCCTCTAAGGAGGATACTTGCATGCACAGTGTGGATCTCTGGTGGATGTAGAGGGTATCAAGGGCTTTCTACATTTTTTGCCCTCGGCATGTGACAGGTTATCTGCCCATGTGTGTTGCTGCCCTGATACCTGATCTCCTATAAATGACAGCTAGGGAGCCACTATGACAACATCTAAAGATGTGATTAACGTCATATTTCGACATCAGTGCCTGGACTGACTGCAAGAAAAGTGTTGCTCTCATGAAATATTTATTACTGCGCAGTACAAACATAAAAAATAATTTTGATATGCAGCGTATTCAAATCAGTAGCGAATCAATCGAAAACCTTTTAATTAGGATTCATGTCAGTGCATTAAAGAGACATAAAAAGCCAGTAATCCTCTCGATCCTCATCGAGCATTACAGACAGGCTGAGAGGAGATGAGCTAGGCCTGACGTTATGTCCGCTGTGTGTTATCTGTGCTACTTTTTGTTATACGAATAAATAAAAGACAGGCACGTTAAGATACAGTACATATTAAATAACAACGCTGACCTGATGTTACAGCTAACACCCCTTCCTTCCTGCCTTATTTGCTTACAGCATCAGCCCGACATTTACCCCGATGGCTGCCGTGCTTACCGGACAGTTCGTCGGGTTCCAGCCCGCTTTCGGTGTCGAGTCCGCAGATCACAAAATAATCTGCGAACCTGCAAGAACCGGAGCTGAAGCCGGTGGTCATGTTGAGACTGGTCCGGTGGTTCCCTTATCCCCTCAACAGGGAGCATATTAAAGTAACTCGGAGAAGTGATTTCTCTCTGCCATCACGGATGTTACGTTACTGCGAACCTGGAAAATCAGTACCGATGCGAAGCTAAACGGCTCGGCTAACAGCAACGGCCATCACACACATCCGGCGATCCTTCACAATAAAACGTCATCGCCCAAATTTAAACTGATTAGAAACTTTAATTTTGCACCAAACTGCAAAAGTAATTCGTCAGACTGTCACGTCATCTGTGGTGGTATCTGTACGAAGCTTTAAAAACATTCATTTAATTGTAATAAATAAATACATAAATATATCTATAAATCTACAATTAAGAAAAAGTCTGCCGTACACTGGTTACATTTGGAGATTAAAATATACACTGTAAAACTCTGTCAAATGTCAAATTAATTCTCCTGCTTATAGCACATTGCACACATATGCCAAAATCTGATTTGTTTTCATGCAATTTTTTTTTTGCGACCAATTATTGTTTTATTTTGAAAGAAATTTCCATAATTTCTGGGTTTAGTCTAACTATCTCTGGCTTTACCATTTACACATCCATAAAAATCAGAGCGTTGCAGTCGAAATGCATTGTGGTCCATCAACAGCACCACAGCTGTAACCATCTGCTCCATCCATGAAGTAACACCAGACTGATACTGTTTGTATACAAACCTGACAGGTGTTGTTCCTAAATTGCTCAGCAGCCAAACTACCACTATAGGTTTTGTGCAGTTTACTTCCAGGGAAGAATCAAAATTTAAACCTGTGTTTTTTTATTGGCCTTTTAATAGATGCGTAGAACATAGTTAGAAAAAATGTGTAGGGTATAACGCATCTGTAAAATCTTCACAGAGAACTGTGCTCGTGTAATAATGAATGTTTAATACAGAAAAGTGTATAATGGAGCACAATCTGTGTCATCTTAATTAGTTTTACTCTTTGAAGAGTTGTATTTGGTCGTCCATACTGGATTCAACTGTAATGAAACATTAACTCCACAAGATTTTGTTTTAGAGATCAACAAAACAAGTTGGAGTGATGAGCTCACACACCATGTTGTCAAAAAGAACAAAAAACAACATTTTACTATCACCAAGTGAGATTCATATTATCCTATTAGTCAACCCATTTCACCAGCATGTATCTAATTTAGACAATGCCACTGCATTTAGAGAAGAAAAAAAAAGTTAACTGTGCAAATCTACACACGTCTTGTCAAGTCATTTAATGTTCAGATTTATTTTTTAAATGTTTGTTTTTATTATTGACTTAAATTAAAGTCCTCTAAAACATGCTTAAATGTGAAGTTCCCCTGATAACACATTTTATAAACATTAACACTGCAGCCATACTACAGTTTGTTAAGAGTGAATGGGTAATGTCATGTAATCTGAACAGACAAGTGCTTAGCAGGTTTGTTACAATATCACCACCTGGTGGATCTTTGCTCTCACTCTTGGTTTGTGAGACTTGACATGTACAGTATATGATAGCATTTGTTCATGGTTTAATAAACAAACTAAAACGGCAGTGTCATTGAAGTTTGCTGCATGTTCTGTTGTCCTAAAAAGCAAAGAAGGACCCTGTATATCTATGAGCTGAATAAAGAATTACTCGGAGACCCAGAGTCTGAAATAAAAGTTTATTTTCATCATTTATAAATCAATTTTGTTAGTTTTGTCTCCACAAAAGGCTATAATTTGCTGATAGTCTGCGGCGTGATTAAACATGCTACAGATAGTTCTGTAAAGATAACTTTAATGATTCAATAAATATGAAAAAAAAAACATATTTGATTAGTAAGAACAGAAATGTGCAATCTGTAAACACTTCATACTGCAATACATCACTGCTCAGTACAAAATAATACTACTTTTTGAAATGTCAACAGAGGGTAACACATGAATGATCTCATTATAGCTTTGATAGGGTAGCAGGACAAAAAACAGCAATTTTGGCATTTCAGTATACGTTTAGTGTGAAGTTTAGATATACCAAATGGCAGTGGGGGGGGCATCTTTCTTGTCTTGTATTATTGAGAACTTGCAAGACGTTAATCTAACTTTTATTCACATATTAAGAATTAAATTTTTATGGACCAGTTTATAGCATTTACCACTTGACTTAACCACCTTAGGGAAGACAACAGTGCACCTCAGGTAGAACCATAAATACAACCTAAGAGTATCTGACTGAAGTAGCATTATTTCCTGCTACAAAAAGTACTGACATTAACATCCTCATACAGCACAACCGCTCAAGTTTCACGTAAATTGATTCTTATGTAGTCATTTAAAATGTGGGTTTGAGGGGTTAATAATCTGACAGTAGTACACAGCAATAAGACATTAAAGTAAAAACAATCTCAAAATACACCCAATGTGCAATTTTGAGAGATTAAAGAAAGGTCTGTTGAATAAGTCACCTGCATGTACATTCACTGCATCAACGTCTCTGGTAACTGTCCAGAAAGTTTTTAAGCAGCAGCAATAAGTTACTTTGGTACACAGGCAAAAAAACAACAAGTACTAACACCAAAAGGGAAAAAAAATCTGTAAAGTTTTGCTAGCAGACATAGAGGACATAATTAACCATTGAAAACCAATTTAAAGAACACAAACTAACAACATAAATCATAATACATTTCTCCTGATGAAGAAAGGAAGCAGTAACAAGCAAGGTAAGGCTTGGATACGTCAGTCAGTTGGCAGTCTTAATGAGGGCAATGGTATTATCTTCTATGCATTTTACCACACATAAATCTGTTGTGTTGACATTATCCATGATCACTTCCCAACTAAAAATACACATTTGAATTACTTGGATACTTGGAGTTTGACATCCTGCAGTTTGGATGTCCTGTGAGGAAATATTACATCAGTCTGTTCTTTACAAGTTACAGTGGCAAAGAGCGGCTTTAGGCAGCTGATATGAACAGAAATGGGTGAAAATAAAGAGAGCTGTTGTGTTGTAGTGGATCCAGGCACCTTTTGAGGAAGAACATGGGAACTCCCCCACAAAAGAAGCATTTAATTTTTCTTGTCTACAGTTTCATTCTGCCCTCACACCGCAGACGTTTGCCGAAGCAAGCACCAGGTATCAAAATGCAATTTTTAAAAACTAAAATTCACGTTCAACAGTAGTCTGACAGTTATTGCTGTGGTGGTGCACTTCATTAGGTAGAAATTAGACACAAGCATGTTAAAATAAATATTAAAAGGGGAGTGGAACTTAAAGGTGCTACAAACAGGATGTAGTAATCAACATGCTACTGACGAAAAAAGGTGTTACAGTTATAAAAAGATATTATGTTTGCAACAGCCTCAGCAAAGTACTGATGTTTTCTAGCAAGACAAGAGTGAAAAGTAGTCATATGGAACAACTGTATCAGAATAATGTGTTTTACCTTAACATCCTACAAGTAGCACCTTTAATTGTCTGGCAATAATCATACAATAATGAGCCTTAAATAAAAAACAAAAAAACACAACTTCTCTTATTTACAAGATGTGCCACAATCAACAACATAATTCACAAAAACAGAAAAACTTGTGCAAGCAGCGGCCAGTTTATACTTAACATCAGGAAAACCCACCACTGCATGCGTTTTCTGGTCAGTGAGTCAGAGATTCTCCCACCAGCAGCCGTGTGTGAGACTGAGCAACTTGAGTGACAGCTGCGCGTTCCTGAGCCGAGGGAAGGGGATGTCGGGATCAGCCAGCAGATGAGGTGCTGGGGTGTGTTAGGCGCTCTACTCTAGTTTCTTCTGCAGCTTTTTCTGGAAGCAGACGGGGAGGATCGAGAGCACAGCCAGTACACCAAGCACAGCCAGAGAGTTCCAGGACACGGCCTCGCCAGCTGTGGTCAGTTTGTACAGTGTTGTACCTGCGTTGATCGCTACAAAGATGGTGGTGCCACTCCTGTAAATCAGCACGGTTGAGTACAGGTGAGTCGGTGACAACAAAAGATCCAAAAATATGACACAGCAGAAGGGATAGACAGTCTTACCGAGAAACGTGCCGATGAAGAAAACTCCCAAAGGCACATTGATGACAGGTGAGGTGATGTTGATGAACCAGTTAGGGAGAAAGGGAGTTATCCTCAGGAAGATGATGTAATTGATTAAATGATCTCTATGTTTGTCAACCTGCCAGCAAAAAAGACATATGCACAATGTTTCCAATCCAATGCAACAGCTCTGCAATAAATCCTATCTATGAAGTCTGTAATCATCAGTTTTTATTGACACTGTGTCAGAGTAGTGTAATAAAATAGTATCAGTACCTTTGGCATTATAGTAATTTCAGTAACAATTACAAAATATTTTAAAATACCAGTTGTTCTTTTTGGTAAAACCAACTTCAGCCTAGAGCTGGGCGATACAGCCAAAAATGTTTTCACGATAAAAGTACCATATCATTCGTTATCAGTAATTATGACGATAAATGTCATAATTTATGACTATTTCTTTCTAGTTGAAAGGCTGATTTTTGCTCCTGAGTGAAAGTTGAACAAATCACATGGTTAATTGTGGTTTTAAACTTTTCTTTATGGTCAGAACATGACAAAAACTTGATGCCAAACAGTGGATCACTTAATGAATCTGAAGTAGAAGATAATTCAAAACAATTATGATAAAGTCTTTTTCAACAGATATGCATGATTAAAATTAAGTAAAATATTTTTTCAGTCCCTTTTCCTCAACGAAATAATATCTATAATATATAATAGAAAAAATAAGTGCTAATTAATTTGTGATTGAATTAAATCAAACATTTACTTAACATTTGTTCAGCATTGTTATTGAGAAAAATTATATAACGATAATTATCATTATTGTTTTATTGCTCAGCTCTACTTTAGCCTTCAAAAGTCCCTGAATTAACAGCATTCATGCAGTGTCAATAAAAACTGGACAATGTAAGCTACACAAGTGTGGGCTTTACTGCCGACCTACTGTCTTATATAAATAAAAACATTAAACTGCACAATTGTGTCTTACAAAATGGAAACTGTGTATCTTTAATAGAAGCTCAAACTGAAAATTGCTCCTAAAAATATACCTTCAACTCACAGCATGTTTTCAGTTTCCCCTCTTACCTGCTGGGACCATTTCTGTGCTCTCTCTGTGAGATATTTGTAGACCATGGGTCTGCCCACGAGATATGACAGCATATAGCAAAAGGAAGCACCCAGGCCAGAGCACTGCAAACAGACACAACACATGAGGACTGACTGACGCATATGACAAGAGACATAAGACAAGCTTTATCTCACAGCTGGAGTAAGAAAACATTGGGTTATTTACACACACCCACACGTATATTGGTAACTTGCCCTAAAAAAATATTCATCATTCTCTGGAAATTAAGTCTATTTGAACTTTTAGCAGCAGTGGAGTAGCGTTCTATCGAATACACAGAAAGTACTTTCAAAGAAGAAGCGGAGGGCCTTGATGTTCACACACATAAACCTCTGCCTTGGATGTGGCAGCAAAAACATCACGTTTTAGTGTCTGTGCTCCAGCATCAAAGAGGAAGAACTTCTGCACTCACCATGTGTTTGCCAACATTAACTCATACAGGAAATAAACCTATTGCAAAAAAACTCCAACCAAGTGTGGCCACAACTGACTATGATGCAATGTAGCTACATGGCATGTTGCACACACGACATCTATCGCGTGTCTGTTTGTAATAAAAAAATCAAAAAAAATTGACTAGAACATCATAGACAGACTCTGTTTGTGCAATGTTGTCTACTCAAATGTTCAATTATGACTTCACTGAAATGTGTGTGAAAAATTCATGTTTAAGAGGCATAACCCATTCTTGCAAATGAGAGGATGTGTGTCTAAACTCCTACATACCTGTGTGTCGCATGGAGCCTATGTCCACACACAGCTGTTCATTTTACAAAGCAACATTTGTTTTCAAAAACACATTTCATACTGTCCTTCCTTACTCACCAAGCAGACTAAGAAAAGAGCCAAGGGGAACGGGTAAAGATATCCAGACAGGATGCTGAGGAAGATAGATCCAGGGATTGCAAATGTCTGGAGGCTGACATCAAGCATTAAGATACACAACTTTGCATAAACATCCAGTTATCACACAGGCATGTCAAATCAAATATTTGACACTGTTCACGTTAAGTGAGAAAGAAATACACAGAACGGATGAAACAAGGATTTTCCCTTACATGTTTAGCGTTTCTCCAGCAAGTTGTACAACAGATTTGTCTTCCTATTGTCAGTCCTAATGGAAAGTTCAACTGAAGTAATGATTGCTCATCTTTTGTGTAGAAGTTGAGCAGCAGCTTTAGATTTGACTGTCTGCCCATCCAAGCCAATGCTCACATACTTTACATGAGATAACACATGACTTGGAGACAAAATGTCATCGTCTTGAGTTGTTTCAGCAGATTCAGAGCAGACAGTCTTGAAAAATCAGTTGATATCAATAGTTTTTCATGATAAATGTCAAATCAATATTTCTTTGAAGTTTAAAGGCTGATTTTTGCTCCTAAGTAAAGTTTGAACAAATCTGATGTTTAATTGTGGTTTTAAACTATTCTTTATGGTCAGAATCAGGGCTGAGATCATTCATTGATTAATAAAATACATTTAATCCATATAACTATACAGCACAGTGTTTCGCACAGACAGTTATTATTGTCGCGCATCGTGTTTTACGCTGTGAACACGGCGTGATTATTGGAGCTATTTGCAAAGTGGAGGAAGAGAGAGAAAATAGTCAGGGACAAAGAAGAAAGTATGGATTATTTCAAGCTAAAGAAAACAACAACTCTAATGTTACCGTCCGTCCACGGTAAAATGAAACTTATGTCGCCTACCAAGACGGCACCTGATCGGAAAGCAGCTGGTGTTCTTCCAGCAAACCACAGACAAGGTACCAGTAACAGCAACTTTAGCATTTAACTGAAATCATTGCTGATTGTTGAGTTGAAGGCTAGCCAAAGTAATCCGCAGTCCGCAGCTGAAAATGTACATACGCAGCTGTCTAGTTGTTGGTCTGATGTTTGCTGTATGACACACTATGAATTTCCGAAAGGACCAATAAATATCTATCGTGCAAACATTCAAAACAATTATAATAATATATTTCAACATAAAAATATGGATGAGTAAATTTTAATAAAATTGTTTTTCAGTTCTTTTTCCTCAACAAAATAAATATTTTAAGAGAAAAATTAATTGCTGAGTCGTACGAGATTTAAATTAATTCAATTCAACATTTGGTCAATTTTATATCGAGGAAAATTTTAGCATGATAATTACTGTTATCATTTTATCACCATCCCCTAATCTGAGGCTGAGCTGTTTCAAATTGAAAGATGCTGCTTGACGGGTTTTGTCAGCACAAACATGATGATAATTTATAAGGAATGTCGGGCATAGACTGTCAAGGAAACAACTAAAAGAAGCTGTAGCCAGTGTTCGTCATGGTGGCATCCCAAGATCATGAACCTGAAACTGACAAATTCTTTTGGACCAGGAAATCAGCTCAGCTGATCTCAGAAGAGTTTGTAAATTGCTGACCCGGTTAACAGCAAATTAATTGAATTGTTGAGACAAAAGACTTGTCTTTGAGCTATATGCCCCCCCCCAAAAAAGGTACATATGTTTTCTCCAAGGATACAAAACATATGTTGCGAAGTAAGCCACCAACACTTGGGTGTAGTATGTGTCTTTGTATTTGGACAGCACAGTTCCCAAAGCTTTGGCGTCTTCCATGTCTTTAGGGATCTTGATTTTCTCCATTTCATCACTGGAAAACACAATTAAGTTCAAATCTTCAGTCATATATATTTCACACACACATTTTCTGTTGGTTTTCATCTCAATATAAATATTTTTGACAATAATCAATCTGGCTTCTATATATACACTAAGGTGGTTGCTTTGTGTTGCTTTGGCTCAATGTTCAGTGCTACATTTGACACTGGTGAGAATGATGTGGTTCTTGACAGGTTCAGAAGGTTTTGTATGTATTAATTCTAATGGGTCAAATTAAACATTCTGTATCACTGTAAATAATCATGTTTCTTAACAAACCCCTTTAACTGGTTGCATTCCCCAGTGGTTAATACTTACTTACTTATAAATTACATAATACAAATAACAAAATATAATAATAATTAATAATCCATAAAGCAACTTACTCAGGAAGCTCTGGGAAGTTCCTATAGACCAGGTACATGACTGAGGCAGCACAGGTGAAGACAGACACCAGAATCAGGAGAGACATGCGTGCTGAGCCCCCTGCAGTATGCTGAGCCTCTGTGGGGAAAGAGATTAAGTTATTTACCAAATAAATTAACTGTTCCCAATAAAAACAGACAAGCTTGCTACCAGGAAGCATTGTGTAATTTGCTTATGAGTTTTGCATCACTTGTATAAGCCTCTAGAAGGAGTCCCCCCCTTGAGACAGACTCTTGCTGTTTCTACAACGGCATGTTAAGTCATGCTTTCAATAAACACTTAAAGGAAAGAGACAACTGTAAAATCGGTTAATTTTAGCTTTCAGCTAAATAATGTAGGCTATGTAGGTTTTTTTACTAACTACATCACTCTAGAGATATCACTGAGAGATGAACTAGGGAGGCTGACGCAAATTACGGATAACAAATTAACACTAATTGTCACTGACTAACAAATCAACATGGGAATAGGGCCGCACATTCCATATCTGCACAAACAGATACATATTTCACCTGGTGCATATGACACTTATATTTATGAAAAAATTCCCCTAAAGCCAGGAGTCCTGGTCAGAGTTGAACCTAAAGTAGAGAAAGTCAGAGAAAAGGGACTCTAGTATGCTAACATACAGTCCAATTTATTAGTACACCTAACAAAAAACACATTATAGCTCACATAAAAGCTAACTTACGGAGTCATCAAATTTAGTTTCAGATATCCCTTAAAGCTAGTACAGTAAAGTACAAACAGTTCTGCAACAGATGCAATCAATTACAGGTCAAAAATGCTTAGAGAGTTATTTATGTGGACACATTTTATTTTATTAACATAACAATGCCATCTGCCCAGAAAAAAAATATTTCACTTTTAAGTCATGGTTTCAGGAGCTGGAAAACATTTTTTGTTTCTTATTGCTCCACAATATTTTTTCATAAAGAAGAATGTACAAGTTCTGGTATTTTGCTTATCTGGGGTGACACACAGACCATTTGGCCAAAAATAAAGTGGAAACAAGTTTCGACACAAGACCGGTGCAGGTTTTGCAGGGACTGGAATTTAATCTTAGATTAAATCAGTGTAAATCAAATCTGTGCTGAACTGTTGTACATGTCAGTAGTTAAATAAAGGGATCCATAATCATCGTCTGCTTAACTGTGATCATTTGGCAAGCAAGTCCTCAGCAATCGTGGAATGAAATTAAGCACAGTTGCTCAAGTATTGCACATAAGTACAGTTTTGATGTATTTGTACTTTACTTGAGTATTTCCTATTCATGTCACTTTATATTCCACTAACGTTACATTTCAGGGGTAAATACTGTACTTCTTACTTCACTACATTCATCTGACAGCTGTAGTTACTGGTTACTTTACAAATGTAGATTTTACATACAGTAGCTCCTAAAATCCCTTTCACACATGAATCCATCAGAACTAATAATCCATCCATCGTCAACCGTTTATCCTGCGAACAGGGTCGCAGGCAAAATTAATAATCTAATAACGTAATTCATAACAGAATAACAATCAAAGGGGCTTTTCATCATTTTAATACATTTATTATTGATACTTTCAGTGCATCTGACAACACGTTCTTTAACTTACTCTTGTACCTTAATACTTGCCCCACCACTGGTCGCTGGACAATCGTTCTTGTTAATTAAACATCTAAGTTAACTTGGCTAACAAAAACATTCAAAGACTTTAGATTTTGCTCCCGTTTTAACATTCATGGTAATTAATGATAATCACTACCGTAGTATCGCTCACCAACTACACTTTGGGGAGTATTTTAGCTACTTCCAACACGTCAGCGTTATGTTTTTCCATTAGCTGTGGCGTTACTAAGCTAGCCATTGAAGTCGTACTCGGCTAATTTTGCTAGCTGTCTGTGTTGCAACAACCAGCCTCCGGCCAACATTAGCTCATGTTCTGTAATCCCAACTGACCTAAAAGGCGTTGCCAAATCGTTAACGGTATATTGCTTAATCTATCTGTATCACCTAGTAGAAGTATTTGCTGTCCTCTGCTTCGCTCTACATTCACATTAACAGTTAGCCACCACAGCCAGAACCTACCTTTCAGTACTTGTGAGTCATTAGCATTCGTCTTCACCTCCTCCTGCGCCGATAACACACCGTCGGTTTCTCGTCTTTCTCTCCGCTTTTTGGCCATTTTTTCTGAGATAACGTTGAGGTCAGCTAGGGAACCGATGTGTGTAACAGCAACAACCGGCGAGTGGAGCGACACCGGCGGTCTAGTGACAGCCCGATGACACGTTACACAGGTTGACCTTCTACCCTCCACAACCAGCAGTAAAACCCGGTCTCATCCCCAACAGCGCCCCCAGCAGTAACACTGCGGCGTCGACATACAGTGAAGTCCATGATGTACCCGTGACAGTGACAGGTTTTCTGGTGTTTTTACTCTGTAACTCAATTAGCTAAAACTTATTTTTCACCTACTTGTATGCAGTGGGGGAATGCAAGTAAATTAACACAAGTACTGTACAAGAGCAGTGTTCCCGCGCGTCCTGGAAAACCTGGAAAACAGTTGACCAATATTCTGTCAGAAAGAAGAATGAACAACTCGGATTTTTTTTTATCTGGGGTGACAGAGCAGACCATTTGGCCAACAAATAAGAGTAAAGTTCAGGGGGAAACAGTCATCGACACAAGACTGGTGTCACGTTTTGCAGATACTGGAATCTAATCTTGGATTAAGTCAATGTCTGTGCTGAACTGTTGAACATGTCAGGAATTAAATAAATGGTTGTTGATGAATTTTCCAGTCATGGAAAACACATGTGAAATGAGAGAAAAAGTCTAATGTTGTGGAAAACCTTGTGTTGTCCTGGAAAAGTATTTTAACATTATGTTGCGGCAGCGTTGGATGCTTTCACGTTTACCAGCTACAACATTAAAGCGATGGTCACACATTAATGCATCAATAATTATAATCCAGTGATATAATGTATATTTTCTGCTGCACTTTTACTTGTAACATTGTAATTCCACACTGTGGTATAGCTACTTTTACTTAAGTATAAATATCTGAGTACGTCTTCCATCACTGCTTGTATGTAGCTACATAATACTTCTATGTTTATATTTACCTATCTTTGTTCAGCTTTGTTGTCCTTGTTTTTAGCTTTATATCTATTCCTATCTTCCTGTAAATTGTTCTTGGAGCAACTTAAATTCGGAGTCAATTACTTTGTATGTGTATATACTGTACTGGTGCTGATACTGGTGTACTGGTGTACAAATACCTGGCCAATAAAGCTGATTCTGATTCTTATTCAGATTCACATACCAGATGAATATAGCCCCTTTTCAGTGAAGAAAAATATATTTTACTCATCTCCATTTATCGGACAGCTTCAGCTACTACAGCTACTACTTACTTTGTATATGAAGGTTTTACATACAAAGTTGAGCATATAAAATATGAGTTACGGATTAAGCTGCCTAACAGATACTTAAAGTTTGCTCCTCCTCAATCAGTTACAACATTAAAATGCTTCGTGTTCATGGATCTGTAATGATCATGCAGTGATGCAAAATGTAATATATATATATAAATGTAATATAGCTTTGACAGAAACATTCTGTGGCAAGGAGGATTTTTACTTACTTGCTACCAAACATGTTGTGAACATTTTGCTGATAATACAGTGTTTTTACTTCAGGATTTGTACTTGTATTGGAGTATTTTGACATAGTTGTACAGCGACTTTTCCTGTAGTAAAAGTTCTAAATACTTTGCCCACTAAAGCATGTTTATACATAGTACCCACTTTTTCAACAGGGCAGCATGATGATAGGGCAACAATTATGTAAGACCCTCATATAAAACTGAAATTATTGCTGAATATGTTCAGTCCATAAACGGTTTGTCCCTGCAGCTTTACACCCTGAATAGTTGCTTCATTCAGCACAGGGAACTCCCCAGTGAACTGAAATCTCATTGGACTCGATTTGAAGATTGGGTTCTTCAGTCTCACAAAATCCATCTCTGTAAACTGGACATTTAATTCTAATCAGCCACAAATACTGCATATTGCATATGCAAAATGGTGCAATGGTTAGACTCCTGGAACTCACCGGTCAGCTGGTTGTCTGTCTCTATGTGTCAGCACTGTGATTGACTGGCAAACTGTCCAGGTTGTAGCCTGCCTCTCACCCAGTGTCAGTTGGGACTGGATGGATATTTGATACAGGAGTACAATAAGTCATCTAAATTTCAGCGCATAGTTTTACAGTGTCCTGACCAATGTGACAGCTACTGTTTACACGTATTTAAAAGTTATTGCTATGGTCAGTATGAACTTGTTTGAGTTCATTATTATATCTTCAGTTAATTCATTGTAATTAATGTTATTAGTATTTTCTTTTTAAAGACTGGTAAAGCACCAAAGAAAGAATCCTGAACTTCCTGAAATGAAACGTTACTTGGATAACTAATGGTTCAGGAGGCTTTGATGGTTTTCATGGTGACACCTGTGTTCCTGACTTTCAAATCTGTCTACCGCTCTGCTGTTTAACACAGACAGAGAAACTCACAAAATTTACATCTGAGATGCATAGTAACAGGAATTAGGAATGACATGTAAATTGTTCATTTTTAAGAGAAGGATGAGAAGGAATAATCTCAGTATGATAGATAACCTGCAGTCATTGTCATCAGCCCTTGCAGATTGTTAAATACAAGCCACCCCCCCTCCCGAAAAAAAAAAAACTATCACATGGGTTGATCACATGGAATATCAATTTGAGAGTGAGGTTCCAATATGAACCCATCTTTTAGCATGAAACAATGTATAGTACCATTGTCACATTTATGACGTGTCTTCTCCAACAAAAGGGCAACAAAATGTAATTTAACCATAAGCTTGCTCAGCGGTGACAAAGGTCTACAGACAAATTGGTAGACATAGGCTTAAAAATAATCTGTAACATTTTCTGAAGTTGAAGATCAGTTTAAATCAATAATGTTTTGTAGCAAGTTCTATATTTTGGATTATGAGAGAAGACGCACATATAATGCAGCTATCATATATGAAACTCCTCAGCTAAGTGTCTGAATATAGGCCTACCTAAATTGCCTAAAATGGAAGAATACTGAAAATGAAATCCCCCCCAAATAAATGCCTTTTCTGGAATGAAGGCAGTCAGTGGGAAAGCTCACCTTCCCCTATCTGTTTGAATGAGTTTACATAATATGAGCAGGTCGAACAAAGGTTATGCTGGAAACTACAACTCCCATAGTTGTGTGGTCACCACCGGATGTTCGTGTTGTACTAATTTGGCGTTGATCTATCCGGGTACTTCAGTCACTGCTTCCTTTCGCGCCGGGTAACCGGAGAGCCGTGCGTCCATGTGCGCAGTGACTGGGAATTGATAGACCTGAAATATTAAAATCCGAGCCGTAAACAGAGTTTTCGTAATGGATCCTGACTCTTTGGTCGAGGCCCTTCGGGGGACGATGGACCCCAATCTGCGGGAGGCCGCAGAGAGACAGCTGAACGAGGTAAAACTTGAGATTAGCCCTTAATTGTGATGGAGGTTGTGGCGCGGTCTCGGATCGGGCCTCGGTCGTTCACAACATCAAGATGGTGCGATCACGCAGACTGGGCTCTGCTACGTTGAGATCAACGCATAAATCCCGCTCCTGGACACGTATACTGATCCTTACGGTCTCGTTCCTATCACAATTGTAGAGCCATTAGCATGAATAGCATATTTTTATTACGATGACACACTCGCGTGCCAGTAACCAACGTCAACGTTAGCTTCATGTTGAGCCAGCTGTGGCGCTAATGCTAACCCAGCTAAACCCCCCTGCCTAGCTGATAATTATTAGCTCGTCACACACAGTTTCGGTATAGTTTTGACTAAATTCAGAGCTGACACGACACATGAATAATATGGCTGGTGTGCTAAACAACAAATGGAGCTTAGTGAACGTGGGGCATGTGCTAGTTGGCTTATTTAAACCGCAGGATAGTGATGGCTAGCGGTGTGGCTAATAACAGCAGCTAACTTCGCTACTTGTTGGAAGAGCTCCGCTACATAGCTGCTGCTCACGTGTCACCGTGACAAGCTCTGAAGTGATGACATTATTTAACAACGGGATAACATTAGCCAACTTTTCTCGGCCGTTTGCCGTAGCCACACTTGATATCTAACAGTGACAAACGTTATATAGCTACTTCGTAAAAATAATCATGAAATTGAGTTTAACGTTAGCCCAGTACCATGTGAGCTAACGTTAACTAAGTTAGCAACACTGTCTCGGACGAGGCAGCAGGAGCCGGACTGAGGAGTTTAAAAAGTTGTCTCTCCTCAAGCGCCTTATGTTTTACTTGTAATGATGTGGCAAATTAATACACTTTTACATTGCAATATTATATAAGCTAATAGGAATTAAGTGTCAGAGAGACATTTAATGACTGAGACTGAACTTTCTGTCTTGATTGACATGTACATAATGGTAAACTATGCAGAGTATCTTACATAAAACAAGTTGAAGACTTCAAGGCATTAGTTTAAATGATTTATCCCAGAAGAATTTTAAGCTCTCTGATTCTGGCTTGACTGTATGTATTAGTTATGGAGAAGAAATACATGCAGGGCAGAGGCCTTTAAATAGTATGAGACAACCTGCATTAGACAGCCAAATCACAATGCCTCTGTTCATCTACATCTGTGTAGTTGCATTAAAATTGATGACAGTTATTACAAAGTAGGTGCTATTTTATGTTTTTAATGTGTAATAATCCAGTCATGGCACACGTGTTCAGTATGTTATGCCCTCAATCAATTAACCCTTCCTTATTTTCTGCAGTGCAAGGAGCAGGGGTTTTTTAACACCCACACAAGCATTGATAGAGATGGCTCAGTTGAATTGCAGAGAGTGTAGAGTGTTCTTACATAGCTGGCCGGAGTTATTCGAGTTGTGTATAGAACAAAAATCATGTAGTCTGGAGGAGGATGGAGTAAATCTGTTGGTGTGCATAGTTTCTAAATACGGTGCTTTTGCTTAGTCATAAACTGACTTTTGTTTTTCACGGAAAATGCCCAGATAAAAAACGACTACAACTTCATACGAAACCTTTTAAAAAATATGTTTATACATAGGAGCTTCATAGGAGCTTGTGGTTGATAGCACATTAAGAAAATTGTGTAAACACTATTTGTGGTGGAGCTCTACATATCAGTATGTCGTCTGATATATCTGTTGGTCAAGTCATAGTTTATCTGCTTTACAATTTCACATGGACCAACCTAATGCAGCTTTTTGTTCT